TGCCTCACTCAGACCACTTTAACTGAAGCACTGACAGGCTGTTCCTTTTGTCTCTCTTCACGATTAATCAGGACAAGTCCTGCAGCCATACCGCTGACTGACACTTTCCTCTTTGTCATCTGCTCTTAATCTGTCCATCAACTCTCTTTTCCTTTTCTCGAACTCCCCTTCAGGGTGGAGCAATGAGCCAATTGTTGGGAACACTTTGTTGTTCCACCATCGTATTTAATCCTTGATCTATGCAGCCAATATTCAATATCTCCATTCCTCCGTGTTTCTTTTCGCAAGCCAGCGTTCATATTGTTCAGATTTTAAATCTCTTTCTTTCCATTCGTTACTCCCTTTCTTTTAAGCTCTTTTTCCACGTAGTACGACTTCCTTTTATTCCTCTTTGCTTTCTCTATGTTAACCTTCGAGTTACTCTCCCCATGAGTGCCTCCCCCTTCTCCCCGTGCTCTCCCCCTCCATCTGATTGCTTGTTAGTTGGTATGCAGGCTTGGACCCCCATTGTGTGTTCTTGCCTGTCAGCACTCTCTTCAGCCATCTCCCTCTCCACCTCTCTTCTTTTTTTCCCCCTCTTTCCACCTCTAAGTATCCATCCTTTTCTGTACAAAAAACAGTGCAAAGAAAAAAGCAAGCAGAGCACGGGGCCTTTTGGGAACGAGGATAAAATGGATGGAAACATGAGGAACAGAAAAAGGGGATATGGGTTATTGGACAAGGGAATGTTTTTACTTAAAGGAGGCATTAAGAAAGAATATAACACCTTGGAGAGATAAAGGGCAGCAAGAGAGAGGAAAGTGTGGAGGAGGGGCTACAGCGATGGTAATATATGGATGGAGTTGTGTGAAGGTGGAAGCTCGCTAGCAGAATGAAAAATGGGTCTCAAGTGACAGAGTATTATATTAAAAAGTAAATTGATATGCAAATGTGGAATGTGTGGCTTTGGAGGACAGGGATAGCCTGTTGTCCTCACTGAAGTGGAACAGAGAGAGGCAGAGAGAAAGGTGAGAGCCCCGGCCTGATAGTGATATCGTACTCCATTAAAGCGTGTGTTTTTGCGTGATTGGTCCAGGTGTGTGTGCTTAAAATCTGCCTGACTCTATAGCTGTGTGTGTGTGTGTGTGTGTGTGTGTGTGTGTGTGTGTGTGTGTGTGTGTGTGTGTGTGTGTGTGTGTGTGTGTGTGTGTGTGTGTGTGTGTGTGTGTGTGTGTGTGTGTGTGTGTGTGTGTGTGTGTGTGTGTGTGTGTGTGTGTGTGTGGGGGGATGAAACTGCAGAGTATAGTGCGATTTGATGGCAGCTAAATGGAACAATGATTTCTCCCTCTGTGACAGATAGTGCTAACTTCACACTGCAGTACAGCTGCAGAAAGAAGCAGCCAGTGGCAATGCAGGAGTACAACTGTATCTCATTATGAAGTCTGCTCCAGCAAAACAGCCTGTGAATGCTCATGTGGCAACCGAATCGATCGCAACTAACAACTCAACAAGACTGGATGTGACTAGTTGCAAAAAACGAGTGAATGTTCTGCTCAGTTTTCCTCCCCAAGACAGTTTCTGACTTGAGCTACCAAGTACTCCGCTGATACTGCTGACAAACTTATTTATTAGCTCTGACTTACATTACACTTTCTGCTGGCAACAAAACAGGTGATGTTTGTTACATCGTGAAATAATTGTTTTGGGGGGCTTGGATGAAGGCCTAATAAACCAACAGAACGTAAGTGATGAAAAATGGAAGTGAGTACAGATTTTGAATTAAACTTAAACCAAACTTTTGGAGACAAAGTGGGAACAAGAAGTGTGAAGCCACTCAGGTACTCAGGAGTTTCAAAGTCCTATTCTGTTTGTTGGCTTCAGAATCAAGTTGCCAAACCACACACGCATACACTAGCAGCAGGCAGCGGACAGGGAGTCGCACTTTAGAGAACATATCTGGTCACGGTTAAAGAACATTCATGTTCTTAAATATGATTTACATAACACTACCATCATCTATCATTCTCTAGTCATAATGCTCAGCTTTGAGTGCCTCAACAGAACTCCTAAAATGTAACAAATGCTTTAGATGACATTAGTGGATATGTTAGGAACAATAAGTGATTGTGTGTTAATCAAAGCAGCATAATTTGCAAACACATACTTGCGAATGCACATTAGTTCTTAATTAACATTTTCTTTGGAAAACAAGGTTGACTCTCAGCATGTGTTCTGTAATGATTTTTGAAAACAGCAGCTGAATCATTAAACATGGAATAACTGCAAATTAGAAAAACACATGTTAATGCATGATTTCCCCATGACTATTTATGGCGATCTGTTGCTTTTGCACCAATACCAACATGTTACTGCTTTTAGATGTGGGAAATATACACATTTTAAAGTTTTGAAAACAGAACAGATGTGTTCAGAAAAAGGCTAACATTTTGTCCCCCTGACTCCAGCCCCAGAGTCCTTACTAGATGGATTACAGGTCAGCTGCATTAAGTTGAAGATATTATATACTATATCTGTTTCAAACTCACACACAGACACAGACACAGCTGTCAGGGGGAAACAAAAGCCATAGCCATGTCAGGTTTGGTACCATGTTTAAGACTGCAGCGCTAATGATTCATGACACTTCTAACTGGAGAGGAGAAATGAGTCGCTCTGTAATTACTATGGAAATGTGTTCATTTCCCATCAGACACACTCCCGCATATGCTGCCATGCACCCATGGAGACACACACATACACACACACACACACACACACTATAAGGCAGATACACACCCAGCAGTGAGGGGGAAAGGGTTTCAAACATAGTGTTTTGCATAACATGTGTTTGTGGGTGGTTGTGTGTGTGTGTGTGTGTGTGTGTGTGTATGTGTGTGTGTGTGTGTGTGTGTGTGTGTGTGTGTGTGTGTGTGTGTGTGCGCGCACTCCCATGGGATTATCACAGTTGGAGCAGAGGTGTGACCCATGTCCCCATTCCCCATATGTTCTAAACACATGCCCCAGAGCACTGTCTGTGTGTGTGTGTGTGTGTGTGTGTGTGTGTGTGTGTGTGTGTGTGTGTGTGTGTGTGTGTGTGTGTGTGTGTGTGTGTGTGTGTGTGTGTGTGTGTGTGTGTGTGTGTGTGTGTGTGTGTGTGTGTGTATCAAGGGGGTAATGATAGTCCCTTGGTGTTTGACTGGCTTGAGCCCAGCTGATAACCAGGTGGGGCCTAACTTCCCCTTTATAGGAACATTAAGCCCCCCTCCTCTTTATCCACAAATACCAGCAACCAGTCTCTACCCTTGTGTGTGAGTGTGTGTGTGTGTGTGTGTGTGTGTGTGTGTGTGTGTGTGTGTGTGTGTGTGTGTTCCCAAGACAGCCTATTGATGTCTGGGTTTTGCCATGCATTCAGCTGTGTAAAATCAACACAAGGATTAAACACCAAATGACTTAGATTTACTGAGCCTGCCGGGACCCAATCTTTCTCTCTTATTCATCAAGCTCATTTACTGAGTTTCTTTTTCACTCTTTATTCTTCTGTCATTATTTAGTCTGCTCTGTCTTTTTTCAAATTTTTCCTTTGTCTTTTCTTTATTCCTGTAAAATATTTATCATCAGCCATACTTTTTATCATTTTCATAGTTTTTGTTACTCCTATTAGTTATATTTCTACTATTATTCTGAGCATATACTGTAAGTCTGTATTATATGTTAGTGTGTGTGTGTCTCCCTCTCTGAATGTCCATCTCTTTCTTTGAGTTCCTGGCTGGTTTTGGCAGAGGGCTGTTCACCAATGAGTCTGCTTGAGGTTTCTCTCTTTTAAAAGGGAAGTTTTTCCTTGACACAGCTTACTCATGGTTGAATAAGGCAGGTCTCAACTAATATTACACAGAGTATGGTCTAGACATGCTCTACATATTAAGTGTCATGAGATAACTTTAGCAGTGATTTGGGGTTACATCAATAAAGCTTGATTGGTCTCACTCCAGTTTTTAAACCTACATACAGTCTATCCGCGTAACGCCTGGGTTCATGCCCAAATCAGTGTATCCTCATGATGGATGGACAAACTGACAGGTAACTGTTTTACCTGTTAAAAACTGGCTGGGGATGGGATAAAAGGCGAAAAATTGAAGGCTGTGTATTATTTATGTCATGCTCAGTAGCTCACTAAACCAAACAGCTTTTATATTTTATGTTTTTGTCCCAAAATGCTTGTGCAATAAATCTCATGGACTGAGTTACGGCTGATTACAGCTGTTAAACATTGTATGATGCCAAAGCACAACTACGTGAAACACAATAACACATACACACAAACACGGACACACACACCCTAGCTCCGTCCCCTGGGAGGCCTGTAAGACAGAATAAGTTTAACACTTCCTCACAGCTGGACGGCAGGATCAGGTTGATCAATTTGTCAATATTGTGTCTCGATCGTGGGTCTGACCCACGCCCCAGGGTGTGTATAGGCAGGGGGTTGGGGAAAAGGGCATGTGTGTGTTTGTGTGTTGGACTCATGATGATATTGAAGGTAGCAGTTGACAGCCAGAGGGGCCATACATGCGTAAAGAAAGGGGTGTTTTTGTGCATTGATCTGCCTGTATAGGAACATCTGTGACACAAACGCACACTCGCTACACCTCAGGCATTAAAGCTTGGAGGAAAGCGTTGAATTGGCAAGTAGAATCTGAGAAAAAGAAGAAGAATAGAAGTATTTCCTTCCTCCAGGCTTGTCTAATACAGAGGAGAGGATGTGTAGGGGTGAAAAAAAGGAAATATGTCGTTGTTCATACACACAGCTGAGGGCTGTGATCAGTGCAGCACAGCATTTCCTGGAAATACTCAGATTGAATATAACACAAAAACACCTGAGTGCAATTTCACGAACACACTCGAGAAATCTAGGATGTGTGCTCTCACATCTCAGATGTGCTATGAAGCTACATTGTTGAGGTGTGGTGGAAAATATATAACTTTATACAACTCCATGATCCAATTGTGTATTTCTTTTTCAGGCACTGTGGATACATTAAAGCCAAGCAGGACCCTGATGAAGAGAAGATGCAGTTCCAACATGGACGAGGTAAGAACACACATATGTCAAACTGAATGATGTGTTGTGTAAATCTAAGGTTATGTTCATCTCATGCACCCACACACACACATATAACTTGTCTTCAAACTAAACTTTACACCCACAAAACAAACAAACAGAAGGCATAAAATTCTATGGTTTTCAAAAATAACTCCAGTGCCTGAAGATTTCTATTTGTTCATAAACAATATTCATTCTCACATCTTGAAATAATCCATGTAACAGAAACAGCTTGAACTAAAGAACAGTATGTGTCCATTATATATACGTCTCAAACCTCGTAGCTATCTCCATAAAAAACTGTATCAAAGCCCATTATTTCACACTTTCTTGCATGAATGTTTGCTGGCAGAGTAAAGCTCCTTATGGGTTCCTGTGAAAATAATGACTCATTTTAACACCCCATCTTAAGAAGTAGATATGTGTGCAATTATGTAATTATTGGTAATGTCACTCAAACATGGCACCCACGCTCAAGCTTTAAATGTCCAGGTAGAAATCAGCAACGGTTCTCTTAGAGGCATCAATAAGCTATCAACACGAGAACTTTTTTTTTTTTTTTTTAAGAAATGGAAAAGCATTCACTCGGAAAAAGCTGACTATATTTCAACATGTGACTTTGAACATTTATCTCCTTTATTTATTGCGCCCTATGTCTCCACTTTTCCTCTCCTCCAGTGAAGCTTCCAGGCAGCAGGACCTACATCCATCCTCACACCTACGAAGACCCCAACCAGGCTGTCAGGGACTTTGCCAAAGAGATCGATGCTTCCAATATTCGCATAGAGAGAGTCATCGGAGCTGGTGAGTTGGCAGTAAAAGCAGCAGTGGACTATTTTATTAATAAATCAAAAACTGTAAAACTTGATGAAATGAAAAGTACATAAAACATTTGTTGGAGTTGTATTGATTTCTTTGAGTTCAGTGTCCAGCCATGTTCTTCATCACTGACACTGAAGCACGTGTTAAACTGATTTTTTTCCCCATGGCATAAAGAAAATCTGTATTTAAATAAACAGATAGAAAGGGCAGACATGTATTTATTGTACAATGTTTTATTATGTTGTAATCAGTCTTATTTTGTCTGTTTGCTTGTGTGTAGGAGAGTTTGGGGAGGTGTGCAGTGGTCGACTGCGTGTTCAGGGAAAGAGGGAGATATACGTGGCCATCAAAAGTCTGAAGGCGGGATACTCGGACAAGCAAAGGCGGGACTTCCTGTCTGAGGCCTCCATCATGGGACAGTTTGATCACCCCAACATCATCCGGTTGGAGGGAGTTGTCACAAGATGTGAGTGTTGAACAAAAACCTTTCTTCCTACTGTGTGTCTGTGTGGATGTGTTTGTGTGTGTCACGTACACAGTAGGCTTGTTGGTAGAGAGGAGTTGATCCTGGGTCAGATTAAAGCTCCATTACCATGGCAACACACTGATGGCGGCCTGCATGTGAGCAGTGCTCAACTGTCTGCCTCTCGAACGGCCACTTGTTTACTTCATGTGATTGTGTGAGGCAATTAGAGCGAGTGTGTGTGTATGTGTGTGTTCATGGACAAAGGTCTGGTTCAACAAGATGGCTGATTTGTTATCGCAGAGCCTCGCTCTCTCCATCGCGCACTCTCTCTGTGTCCATCTCTCGTCTCATGTGCTTATCTCACGCTCCTGCTTTCTCTCTCTGTCAGGGTCTCCTCTTATCTTCTCATTCAATCACTCCACCTTTCTCTCTCTTTTCTACATGCGCTCAGTCAAACACAGTCTCCCTTCTTCTGTCCCTCAAGTACTTTCTCTTTCTTTACATCCCTCAGTCAGCCGGATAAAACATTTTCTCTTTCTTTCTCAGTTTTGGTCCCAACACCGCGCTAAAATAGCAGACTGAAGTAGCTCTGCAATTTCGGAGGACAATTTCTGTCGATGCAATCCACTGGAGCTTTTTGTTTGATAGATTTGAAAAGAAACATGGAGGAAAGACGAGTCCTTGCTATATTAGTCCTCGATATATCTGACTGTAGCCTTTTTGATCCGACAGTTCTCATGACTTAAATGCCAAGCTTTTTTTTCTTCAACAAGATGTTTATAACAAGATATTATTTTTCTACATGTCTGTGTCTGTGTGTAGCCATCTAAGTGGTCAAAAGTATCAGTGCTAACAGATATGAGATTTTACATTCGGCAATTGTATAAGTTACACAAGAGTAAACCACAATTCAACTTTGAAATGCAGAAAAGTGGTTAAGTGGTGTCTTTTGCCATACTAAAGAAAAGGACTCTATTTGTGACGTTGTCCTCTTCCTACTTTTTTGTGTGTGGACTGATGGTGCAGGTTTCATTCATTCCTCTGGAATAAATGGTCTTTGATCTCGGCTAATCCAACTGCTGATGTTGGGCATGTACTGAAGCGGGCTTTATTAATACTCAGAAAATAAGGCTTTTAGTTTTTGTTGAATGACATTTAAGGGCTTTGAAAAGAAACATAATGTATGACTGACTGAGCTGTGCACTAATAAAGTTTACAACTCTCTATCACCTACGACTAAACACTGGTGCAGAGTGGCGAACAACAGGAACTTTAAAAAATAAAAATAAAAAATCATTTATGGCTTCTAAATTCTTACTAAAGCTGTTATAAAGCTTACTTTTGTATTGGTCTAAGAAAGTTACAGATACAAACTTTTATCTTTTGTTTAGGAGTTTAAATGAGGAAATCTTTGCCAAATAGAAACACGGCTTGAACTCACATCCTTTTTTATACAACAAAGCATGTGGTGTTTAATCACCATGAAAAGCCATGAAACCATTTGTTTCTTTCTTTTCCCTCTGAGGTAACTGTTCCTCTGCTGGCCTGACACCTTGTTATGCAGACGTTTGTTAGCAATCTACTGACAAGGAGGAGGAAGTGGAGAGAGTCGCAACAAAGAAACTAAATTGTAAACATGCAGGCGGACAAATAGATCTCCATCCCCCCCCACCCCCAGATCTCACCCCCTCCCCATCCTCCTGTCTCTCACACACACACACACACACACACACAGATCTTAAATCCATCACACACTGGTGTTTGGTGGCACTTAGGCCAACAATAAAAGAGCAAATGCATATGCATAGGCTTTTATCATGAATATTAATAATTCATAAAGTTAATTGGATGTTTTTAGCTTCATGAATATTCAGTGGCGTGCATATTAAGAATGAAACCGCAGTGCATTTCTTATTCATTGTGACGACTCCCTCTCTCTCTCTCTCTCTCTCTCTCTCTCTCTCTCTCTCTCTCTCATTGTCTTTAAATGCTGGATGTTAGCTGTGACCTTTAGTTAGCAGGATTGAGGCAGTTTGTAGAAGTGCTAAAGCAACACAGTAAATTATTATTTTTTTTTGTTTTTGTTTTTTCACTGTGACAGGCAGACGTGTAATTATGGCACTTTCTTTTTGGTGGCAGGCAAATTTTTTCTGGTTTAAAGTACCGTAATAAATTCAAGAATTACTGCCAAATCCTTGAAATTTAGTTTCAGAGGACAAAAGAGCTGACAGTGAAATAGCTAAAAAGCAGAAAATTGGCTCGACAAGCAACTTACTTAAACATAATAAGTAGGTGTAAAACTTTTCTGTGCTCCATGAATATGAAATGATGTTTGTGTTGCATGCCTGTAATGACTGTGTACTTTTACATGCGTGTCTTTGTGTCTCTCTTCTCACCTGCCTTCACGGCACATTGAGGAGTTGATAGAGCCCCTCAGAAACAAATCACACCAGTGAAGCAGTAATTTCACAGGTCACAGCCCAGGGTGGCGTGTGTGTGTGTGTGTGTGAGTGCGTGTGTATATGTGCGAGCGAGGGGGTGAGAGTTGAGATGGGTCAATAATTCCTCCAGGCCATTTTCTCAAACACCAGCTGGTCCCTTCACACCAACCTCAGTCTAATCAGGCTGGCTGACCCTGACTGCTCAGGGCTCAGGTGTGTTGGATTGGTTTGTGTAGGTGTAGGCACAAGTAGAATTGGCAGCTGGAGCAGTGCGATTAGTTGGAGCACGAGAAGTAATTGCTGTCGTCACAGATCTGACGTGGAGAAATGTCAGTAGTGGTTAAAAAAGATTGGATGGTACAAAACAACAGTTCTAGTAGCAACAATATCAACAACAGTTAGCAATATAATAATACTTTATCAATACCCAAAGTTAGTGTGACAGAAAAAGACAAGAATCTGTTGGCTTCTAATGTGCGTATTGGATTTCTTCTCAAGATTCTGGGACATCCAACTTGCAAAAATGTACGCGTGTCCAAATTGACAAACTATGTGAATCATCGTCGCCCACTCAGGGAGGCTCTGCCCGGGGGACACAATAACTTGGTGTGGTCGCAAGAGAACAACTGAAGCAGAATCAGCAGACTTTACAAACTGGATTAAAGATTTTCTTTGGCCTTAAAAGACAAACAAGAACCAAAAGAACCAACCTTGAAATTGATGCAGAATCTATATATCTATATCTATCTATAAGTATATTTGCACTCATCTGCTGCCGTCTCTGCCTCACAGAAACGTTCTAGTGAAACAGGAAGGGAGCGTTGGGGGGGCAGGATATTTTAAGTACCTTTCACATTTGCCTAAAGGTTTTCATAACAACAAAAAAAAGATGCTTGGATGCTTGTCTACAAGTACATTTTACGTTGGTGGCCCTCATGGTTCAAATTTGACTCTTTTCGAGACTATAAGACTTTCAAAATTCTCAATACAAGGCTAACTTGATGGTGTCCTTATATATGTAGAAGAAAATGTAAGATTAGACTTTGTATTAGTTGTTTGAATCATTGACATATTTGTAGGTATATGGTCAGCATAATATTCATAGCCTTTCTAGTAGCCATAGTATTGATCTAAAGCAACCTAGCAGTTTAAGTAGTGGGGGCAGCGATGGTTGTTTGAGTACTAATGGTTGTATTGAAATCCATTTTATTTTTGCAATGTCTGTGCACAAGTGCCTATTTTGTGCTCTGTCTGCATTTTCCTTTTTCATTCACTTTTAAATGGGTGAGTGTGTGTGTGTGTGTGTGTGTGTGTGTGTGTGTGTGTGTGTACGTGCGTGTGTGTGTGTGTGTGTGTGTTCACGTCGCTTAAAACCTCATAAGCCCCCCTGTCCCTGCTGTGTGCCACTCTAATAACCTACTCTGCTGCCTGTCACCTTATTGTTGCTATTGTCATGCTAATTAGAGAGCTACATGCAGAAAAGCAGGAAAAATTGTTTTTCTTCCCTCTGTCTCCCTACACATCAGAAAAGTGCAGCAATCTGTCTGCACCACCATCTCCCCCCCTTCCCCCCCTCCATCTCCTTATCTCCCATTCATCTCCCCCGTCCCTCATTTTATCCATCCGTCTTTTATGTGTTTTACAATCGCTGCAACAATCGGCTCATTTGGAAAACCCTCAATTACCGAGCTCCATCTCATCTGCCCACATTGCGCACACACACACACACACACACACACAGACACACACACACACACACACACACACACACACACACACACACACACACACACACACAAGGCAGCTGTACAAAGGTGCTGTTGAAACTGGAAAAGCCACACATCTTCCCCTGCTGTCTTCTTTTTAAAGAAACTGGTGATTAGTTTAAACTGTGCGTCTTTGTGCGCTGCACAATAAGTATTTCAATGTTTCCTGTCAGACTGTTTGAAATTATTCAGGGTTTTGAATATGTATGCAGATTTGGAAGATTGGACCCAATAGACAAATGAAACCAGAGGGGAATGCAAAGAAAAAGGTGATGATGGGCACAGGACGGAGGGAAGGACGGATCAGATAGGAAACAAGAGCTGGGAAATGAGAGAAGATGAGGCTTGAAAACAAATGAGGGCAGCTGAGGGGGGGTGGAGACGTGTGAGGAGATTTGAGGAAAGATGGCCGGATGGATGTGTGGAGAGGAGAGGAGAGATGGAGGGGAGACAAACGTGAGGAAATGAGAGGAGATGAGAAAGCAAGGAGAGGGGTGTAGAGGTGAAGAGAAGAGAAGAGTGGAGATAAGGTTATTGAGTTTGTGGCTCCACCCCCTCTGCATCACGGAGCTTCCCAGAACACAGATCCGTCCAGTGTGTTAAAAGGATTGTATCACTTAGTTCGAAGCTTTAACATTAATCAATACAGCAGTTATTTCATTTTCTCGTTTGTACTTTGGGTCGTCTCATTCAATAAGGCGGTAATGCGGCCTTCTCGCGCAGGCACACCGATAGCGGCTCATAATGCAATTGTGTGGATGTATACAGACTCTTATCATGTACGTTTTACACTTACCTACACACACAGAAACAGTCCCTCATAATGTAATCTACCAGACATACAGACATCTCTTTCACTTTCCTACACACACACACACACACACACACACACACACACAATAAAGGGCAGAAAGAACCACGCTTTATGCTGAGGAGATCTGAAACAACATTTTCTCTTTTTACTTAATGAAGAGCTGCAAAAAAAAGAGCAGAATCCTCTCTGATCCATTCCAAAACACACTCCACCTGGCAGAACATCAATACCCAATCTGCACACACACACACTAATCCATACACTCTGCAAGAGGCTGTGTTATTTTCCGAAGGCGATGAAAGGAAATAAATCCGACTGAATATGACCGTGATTAGTTAATTATGTGCTTTCAGGGGGAAATTGAGGAGCGCTCGTGAATGTTTGGCAAAGAGGCGCTTCATGATGAGTTGGAGAGGCTCCGTCCTGCTTTGTGTGTGTGTGTGTGTGTTCTGTACTCGGAGGTGATGTCGCAACAAGGAGTGAAAAGGATTCAATTATACGTTGAGTGTGTGTGTGTGTGTGTGTGTGTGTGTGTGTGTGTGTGTGTGTGTGTGTGTGTGTGTGTTTGCACCAGAACCTGGCAAAAAGAGATGAAATGAGGTAATGTACAGTCTGAGCGCATGTAGTCGGGTTTATTGGTAACCTCTGTTATCTTTTAGAGTCGCAGGGATAATTCTGTATGGCAGGTGTCCAGATGATGGCTAGTGATATCAGAGTGTGTGTGTGTGTGTGTTTGTTTGTTTGTGTGTGTGTGTGTGTGTGTGAGCTCATGCCAGGCTCACATGCTCGTCTAAGCCGACACAACAGGATGAAGGTCTTTCATTGTGTGTTTCTCTTGACCGTGTCTTACACTGTGAGGCTGTAGGTAATATTCTCCTTCACTGGTAACATATATTGGCTTTACCACCACACAAACACACACATGTCACTCAAAGATATAATTGGTTTTCATAGATTTGTTTATAGCCCCTTTTCATTTCAGGCCTTTGTGCTTTGTAGAATATGCCATCCAGACGTGTGTATGTATACTATGGGGTCTATTATCCGAGACACAATTAAGCAAAAACACCAACACCCACACACGTGTCCTAGAAAGTCGGACCTCCCGTTAGACTGCATCAATCGCAGCAAGTGGTCTATCTGTCTTTGTGAACAACACACAAGAGCAAACACACGCGTCCTCTCCTCTAATCTGAGCTTAAATCAGGAGGTCATCATCGTGCCGTCACTTCAACTTGCTGTGCCCTGAAACAAGCTCGCTCTCTGTCTTCCACATCCACACACACACACACACACACACACCCACACAGCACCACAGTGCATCCAACCCAGGCCCCGTGTGGAGATAAATGTGACCAGCAGTCCTCACCCCCAGCAGAAGAAAATCCAATTCTCTTTCACTTTTATCCCTGAGACTAATGTTACTGTCAAAGAAGACACCACCGCCAGAGACCAGGCCACTCCGTTTTTGTGTGTGTGTGTGTGTGTGTGTGTGTGTGTGCGTGTGTGTGCGTGTGTGTGCGTGTGTGTGTGTGCGTGTGTGTGTGTGTGTGTGTGTGTGCGTGCGTTTGCTGCAGCTAGATAGTGAATTCATTTAAGGTGATGTATTGCTGTCTTTACCTACAATCTCACTGTAGGCCTCTGTGGTGTTGTTCCTGCCTTTCCTTGACAAGCTTCTGAACCCTCCTCCTCCTCCTTTCCTCCTCTCTTTCACTTCTGTCTTTCTTTTTTCCTCCTTTCTGTCTTCTTTACATTGACTTCTCCACCTCCTACTTTTCATTTTTCTTCTTTATCTTTCAAACATTTGCCTTTTTTTAAAATTAAATTGATGTTTTCCTCCACACCCCTTAATCTTGAATTTCCTCTTTTCTGTTCCCTATTTCACTTTTAATTTGATGCTTAATTTAAGACAGCTTTATTGACATCATGGTAGTGATATTCTGTGAAAGAACGAAAGAAAGCAACATCCTTTGCGTTTTTCATATTTGCTGTTTTCCCCTAGACCAAATCTACAAGAAGACTTTATTCGTCTCCACCCCTTCAGTTTCTTTTGATTTCTTTTTATCTCTCCCCCGGGTTTTTTTCCCAGCCTCCCTGAGGTCTGATTGGGAAAATGTGACCTATTCATCACAGATGACATAAGGCTGTATTTACAAGCCATGCACATACACACTCACACACCCACACACACACACATTACATGTTTGTTTGTGATTGGAAATGCCTGGCTGTGGGGGTCTCTGCGGAAAGGGACCCCTGTATAACAGTACACCACTGCTGCTACTGAGTGTGTGTACATGTTTGTGTTTTTTGTGGGGTTGCAGGTACTTTGTTAATCATTTGTAAGCCCGACCAGATGCCATGCAGGGGACCAGAGAGCAAGGGCTTGTCAGTCAACCAACCGCTCATCCCACAAGCGTGCACACAAACACACACTCATGCAGGTGCAGGTGCACAGCGACCAAACCACAACCCCCTCCGTCCCCCCTCCCCCCCTCCGTCCCTCCTGAGGCTGATTAGTATTCATGAGATCTCAGGAGGCCCCCTTAAACACACGCACACACACACATTGTGGTGGATTGGTCCATTCTAATTATCTCCTGGCGTTTATGGAGAGGGCTGATTAGAGGCTGTCAGTGTGACTGATGACGACATGCCATGTTATCCCCCAGAGAGAGGCGGAGAGACAGAGAGGAAGGCTGGTCACAGCTGTGGACTCCGTCTCTCTTCTGTCCTCCGCTTTTTTTATAGTTGGTGTCTTTCTTCCTTGTCATTCTGACCCACTAACAGCTGCCTTGTTATGTGCCTCCGTAGGTAAGCCGGTGATGATCATAACCGAGTTCATGGAAAACGGATCTCTGGACACTTTCCTCAAGGTGAGTCACAGTTTGAAGGAATACAGCGCTCACAATTAACTTCCAAGGTCAGGGCTACGAGAAGGCCGTGTGGGAAATGATGTTCCAGCTTTAAAGTGTTTGAAATTGAGGACTTCATTCCCCAAAATTGCTGTTCTTGTAAGAAACAATCTTAAAATAAAATATATAGAAGCCAAGTCCCAGAAATGATCTCGCAGCCTTCAAAACTGTAAAATGTGATTTTTGTTTTTCAAGTTTAACAAAGTGGACAAAAGGATCCAATCGCTGACTTTGATTAAAAGTATCCTTCAAAAACAGCTGGTTAGACTTCAGGAACCCGTTCTGAGCCACATTTTTAAACCCAATCACCACATTAAGAATTAAACAGATACAGCGTTACACGATCTAAAGGAGAACAGAACAGATAAATGTGTACTGTTGATCTCTGTAAGTGGAGCGGAGTGAGGAGGACATTGAGAACGTGCATAAAATGTCACTTCCTGGAGCTTTCTCGGAAAATACGACCCGGGGAAACTTTTTATACAGGCAACAGACAGACAGTGAACATTAATGGGAGATAAAAAACGATTTATACATGTAAAAATGTACATACAGCCCCTTTAATCAAATTAATTAAACTGGTGCCCCAAACTATTGAGTGTAAGTGATGAACAAAGACAAAAAAGAAAGAAAAGAAACTTGCTCAGCTGCATCCGGCAATCAAATGTAACTTTCCCTTAGTTAGCACAGGGGCAGCCCCCCACTCAAGAGGGTTAGAGTTAGGGTTTAGAGAACCCTACGTCGGTGCAAATTCTGTCAGTGGAATATTTGTGCTGTAGGTTCTTTGTTGTGCCTGGATCAAGTCAAGAGCAACACATGCCAAGCTGTCAATTTTACATTGTTTTTACATTCAAATATATGTTCTCCTAGAAGCCTACTGTAAGTGTCAGGAGGGGCTGCCAGCTGAGCTGCCACTAGTTTCTTCTTTTTTGAAGATTTCTTCAGTGTTTATCTTTCAAGAATGTTTTTTTATCAGAGGCTATTTTATTATCTTAAATACAATCAATCCAAGAAACATTGACAAATTTTATAATAAAAAACTGTCTGTTTAATCTGGCGTAGCTTTTCGGAGCTAGGAACTTTGCTGCAGTTAACTATAATTCATTATCTAACAAAAACCCCTTCATCTGGTGAAATTATATAGCACAATATATAGTAACACGATTTGAAACACAATGAAAGTAGTCAAAGTGTTTTCATCAGTAGCAGACACATTGTTTGCATCCTTTAAAAATTGGCAAAAAAAAAGGAAATAGATAAAACGACACAACCGTTTTAGCTGGTTATTAAACAGACTGAAATTCATACTGATAAGATCGACTCTCAGCAGCACAATCGATTCTTTTTATAGTAGTCTTAAATGCTTGAAAACACTGAAGCAGGATAGTTGGCACACACGCAGTCTTTGTTTCCATTTCCAGGATTCACAGAGAGTAATATATATGACTGTAACAAGACAGCAGGATGACATTTTTGAGCCCCAAACAGTCCTTGTAATGGACCAAATATGGACACACACTTACAAACACACTTTTTAACATGATGTTTTGATACTGGCTTTATGAAATGCACTTAGTGTCCATAACCCAGAGCTGGATCAGTAAAGACTGCTGACAAATGGACAATAAAACAAAGAAAGTGTATTGCTTCAGTGCAACATTTGTTCTGTCTGGGGTTAAAAATAAGTGCTTCACTTTAAATGTAATGTAAAAATATATGAAAGGTTTATGATCGCTAAAAGAAAAAAACGATTGTGGGCAGCGGTGGCTCAATGGTAAAGTCGGATGTGTCCCAACCGGAAGGTCAGGGTTTCGAGCCCTAGCTCCTGCAGCCACATGTCCGATGTGTCCTTGGGCAAGACGCTGAATCCCAAGTTGCTCCCGCTACTTCAGCTGCGGCGTATTAATTTGTATAAATAGGATAAGTTAATACTGATGGACACTTTACATAGTAGCCTCTGCCATCAGGGTGTGAATGGGTAGGTGTGACCTGCGGTGTAACAGTGCTGTGAGTAGTCTAGAAAATCTGCAATAACTAGAAAAGCACTTTAGAAGCTCAAATCCATTTACCATTTAAATGTCAAGACTGCGACAAAGACAAACATAGAAAATCCCCTCCAAAATGCCAAAGGGATTCAAAGGAAATAAGCTTTACCTCAACTAACAGAGACAAATGTAGTAAGGTTGTTCAAAGAAACCTTTATTGTGGCGAGGGAATGGTTGAACAAATTACTGTTTGTAAAGCGTTGATGGAACTAAGAGTTTAGGCCGATGACAGAGAACTACTAAAATAAGTCCTGAAAAGCAGATATTACTCAAGAAAAAATATCTTATCAGTGAACAGGTTTTAAAAATTGATTCAAGCCTGTGGCGGATTTGCTTTTGTTATTGAAGGGTCACTCAGTTTGTCATTTCACAAATTCATGTTATTTAAAGAGTCCTTTGTGACATCTTCTGCAACATATCAGAACCAAACAGAAACATCAAGCTTATTAAGGAAAACTGAATCTTTTTGTTCAAAACTGACAGAAGGTTTGAAAGTAATTTCAATCAGAAGTATGATTGAAGAAAAGCTGACAATGCTGTACAATTTGATTAATTTCTCTTCATTCAAACTGCATGCCAGAAGTCGCGAACATGTGAGATTAGGATTCATGCATAGAGCCAGATGAATAGCTTGTTGCAGCTGTGGTGAGCCTCACATTTTAAAGTCCCCCTGATTCATATTCAGAGTTGTTTGTCAGCCAGTAAAATCACTGCACTGCTCCTAAGCCATTAAGCCTGTGATGATAGGCCCGTCACTAAACAGACACCAATCCCATCAGCAACACTGACGCAAACTGAAATGAAATCCGACATAAAAAAAATGGCATAAAGTCCCGGAACACAAATATAAAAAGCCACACTTCTGTGTGTTACAGTATGTATTGCAATGAGGCTCGTAAACCCCAGCCCAATATAATTACAGGATCTCTTTTATGGGTTTTTACAGCTCGCCGTGCTCCTGGCATCCATGTGTCTTTAATTATGCCGACCATTTATTAAGCAACCGTCCCTCAGAAATGACAAAACCACTGCTCAGTTGGAGACGCTCTTCTTTCCCTAGATTCCATTTCTCCTTTCAGTTTTCAAGAGAAAACCTTAAATACATCTTGGTTTTGCAAAATAGTCTAGTTTTCCATCTTCACCTTCCTCATCCGTCTCCTTCATCTCCTTGTCGAACCTCTGCCCTGCAGTGGTCTCCTCTCTCTCTTTCCCTGCCCTGCCCAGCCTTCCTCCCTTCTTCCTGGCAATGCGGTGTGGTGGGCAGATTGATAGAGGAAGTCTGTAGGTTTGTTAGACAGTCCAATCAATCAGCATCTCACAAAACCACCGGCTAATTAACTTACTCCACAGCTGCCGAGGGAGAGAGAGAGAGAGAGAGAGAGAGGGAGAGAAGGGACGAACGAGAAACGGCTCACAGACGCAGAAAGATGAAGGAAGATGGATAGATAGAGACTGGAACAAAGTAACACACACAGTTCTCTCTCTCTCTCTCTCTCTCTCTCTCTCTCTCTCTCTCTCTCTCTCTCTCTCTCTCTCCCTGAGACAGAGACTGAGATAGATGGACAGAACAAAGAGACAGAGGGAAGGAGAGATGATATAAAGGGGAGAGGTTGACTGATAACATGGATGGCTTTTTAACGGGGACCATTGGCCCAGGGCAGAAATAATTGGCAAAGTAAGGTGAGCTGGACTGTCATCGATCAACAGGCTTTGTCTGTGCCAAACGCAGCTCAAATCTGAAATCCAGTGAGCTCTGCTCGGGCACATGGTCAGTGTTAGAGAGTAAAGTTTTGTCTTCTCTGTCAGATCCAATCCTCTGCAAATAGTTTTTTTTTTCTGAGCCTCTATTGATCCAGGGGTGAAGAAATTCATCTTTTAGCTTGCCGGCCCTCCAGAGAGAGGTCAATACGCAGGGTTAGCACAAGCCGGAAGGGGTTCAGGCTTGATCAGGGACTTCATATGTGCAGAACGCTGACATTACAGCTTCTTGAATCCTGGATTGAACCGTTGCTTCCAGCTGAGGTCGTTGAATGAACCTGCTGTAATCACTCTACCTCCCTGCTGCAGCTTTTACACTCTCTTCCGTGTATTAATTCATCTTTCTCCTTGTCTCTCTTCTCCAGAAACATGACGGCCAGTTCACAGTGATCCAGCTGGTCGGCATGCTGCGTGGCATCGCCTCAGGGATGAAGTACTTGTCGGACATGAGCTACGTTCACAGAGACCTGGCAGCTCGAAACATCCTGGTCAACAGCAACCTGGTGTGTAAGGTGTCGGACTTTGGCCTGAGTCGTGTTCTGGAGGACGACCCAGAGGCTGCGTACACTACAAGGGTAAGACAAACTCTCCCAGGATGCAGCTGTCTAAAATAAATGTTACTGATGCTACAGTTCATTCAATCACGGACTTCTCTACATTATAAACTCAGTCCAACAGTGAAACCAACGTACATTAAATAACTTTCAAAAAAACAGTATTGATTTGAAAAGGCTGTTAAGGCAATTGGAAACAAGTTCCAAATCAACTTGAGCATAAAAAGAGCACATCCTAAATGTGGACCTGATCTGACAGACAGACAGACCCTCTGCACAGAAAGCTAAGTAGCAGCTGAAGATTGGTAAACAAGTTATTTTACCCCTTTAAAAACATGTTTTTATTCTAACTCCCCAATACTTGAGTCAATTTGTTTTTGTTTAAGATTTTACAACCATTCACACAAAACCAAAACACTCAAATAGCCTAAAAATCTTCAATTGAAGACCTAAATACTGACACAAAGAAAGCGGTGCAACATTGATCAGTTAAAGGAACTATGTGCGACATTTGACACATATAGCAATCATCGTCAATTAAAAACATCCTCTGTAAAGTCATGACATCTGCAATGAGTGAGAAGTGCGAGAATTAAAATAGCATTACAATGAATGTTGTAAAATCCAACCTACAAGGTTGCTTATTATACTCCTTTTCAACCAGTTTAAAAAAAGTCTAATAGCTCTTAAAACATTTCTTGCTTAAAATACACTCCACTGATGTCACAAAGGGAAAATCTCCAAACCGCCTGTTTGAGCACACATTTTCTGAAAAGTGGAGCAGGCAAGAGAGGGTGGATGAACTCTACTCATTATTGTGGGGTGCAGACAGGCTAGGGATACATATCGTTTAAGTGTGCGTAAAACATGGGAAAGTGTATTTTGCATAATATTCGACCTTTAAAAAACCACCTAGAATCAAAATGAATGTATAAAACACCTTGCTCATGAAAAGAACAAACAGAAATGTAAAACCTATGCTTTTATCAGTTGCCTGATGGAGCATCTAGTCTTATTTGCTGCTACAGACACTGAATAGGCCAGTAATTACCTCCACTCAATATCTTTAAATTGACTCTCTAATGACAAAGACAAGATTCTAAAACTGAATTACATCAACTTTTAGTTTTGTCTGCTTTTAAAGTTTTGTATAAAGTTGCAGAACGGTGTCATAAAATGGCCATAAAATTCACAAAGTGAGATGTGCACATGGTATTAATGCATACAAACTCCCTCGTCTTTATATTTTTGACTATATAAATTCTAATCTTCGTTTTACTCGCAAACCATTCCCCCACAGAGCTCAGAGAGAATGAAGAAACTCAAACATCAGTGAGTTAAACCACTGCCGAGTAACTCGACTGAAATGCCCACAAGGAGACGGCATTATTCATATTCATAGGAAGTGTTGGGGATGTTATTTTTAATATGGCATTAGCATTGCCCTGGGAGGAGTGTATCAGCCGCTGACTGCTCTATTGCAATCACACACACACTTCCACTGATGTCAGGAGACGTAGATGGAGAGCTGCAGGCATGGAGGAAGGGGGGGTGCAGGAGGGCGAGGCGGAGATAGCAAAGAAGAGTGGGTATCAAATACGTCTGATCGAGGGAGGCAGGGAGACGGGGGAGAGAGAATAAGGGAAGGCAGGGGGAGGATCCAGTGAGAGCAGTTAAGAGAAAAAAAAGGAGGGATGGGGTGGACAGGGGGCTGCAGGAACAAAAGTACAGAGTCACTTGGCAGCTTTGTCTTTTATTTGACTTTGACCAAGCAGAGATGGGGAATGCTAGGTGGTGCAGAGGCGGCTCCCGCATGTTAAAAAGCTCAAGCAAGCCCTATAGAGGTACAGTGTGTGTGGAAGACAAAGAGAGAGAGAGAGAGAGAGAGTAGGGGCGGGGTGTCTTACATCCTTATGCACCCATACAGTGAGCTTTATTGAATCCTTTTGATCTGTGCATCACAACAAAGGCAGGAGCAGCATGGAAGATGAAATTGAAGGCAAAAGAAAGTCAATGTAAGAACAAACACTGGTGCCAAAGTATGTTGTGAGCACATTAGAGAGGAGTGCTGTTGTGAGAAGTTGTATAATCTCAACTGCTGTTCTCAGAGGCTGAGTTGTCTGCAGCTGCCAGCTTCTAATTTCTTTTTTTCAGCCTAAATTTATACAGCGCATAGCTGCAAACATATTATAAAATCCTTAAATATTTACATCATTTGACGGGGTAAACATGTAGTTCAGGCTGATATATGTTTAGTACATCTAGAATGTGTTGACTGTGTTCTGAACCATCTCTAGGGAGGAAAGATCCCCATCAGATGGACAGCTCCAGAGGCAATAGCCTACAGGAAGTTCACCTCAGCCAGCGATGTGTGGAGCTACGGTATCGTCATGTGGGAGGTGATTTCATACGGAGAGAGACCTTACTGGGAGATGTCCAACCAGGATGTGAGTCACAAGAACATTATGATTCATTTACTGCAAAAAAGGCCAAGGGTGTAATTTTTTTCAATTTTTTTAGTTACAAAATGAAATGTTTCCTTCTTGTATCAATTTCAGAACTTGATATTTGGCCCTCTCTCACTGCAGGTCATCAAAGCAATAGATGAGGGCTACCGTCTGCCCGCGCCGATGGACTGTCCCGTGGTGTTGCATCAGCTCATGCTGGACTGCTGGGAAAAGGGACGCAGCGAGAGGCCAAAGTTTGGACAGATTGTCGGAATCCTGGACAAGCTCATCAGAAACCCAGCCAGCCTCAGAGAGCTGGCTAACAGCTCAGCATGGTCAGTGAGAGAAAGTTAGAAAACAAAGCTGTGATTTCAACACTTTTCACATCCGAAAGTCTAAAGATACCTGGAGTAGATTATAGGAAGTTGCATGCATCGAAGACATAATCACTGCTTAAGATCTCCATTTTCCAAAACTTTGCAAGTTTGAAAAAGAAAAGTTGGAAAGGTTTTTTTCCCCAGCAGTCACATCATTTCTTATCTTTTTTTCAGCAAAGTAATATTTGTCACTGAACAGATATGAATGTAAGGTTGTGAGCTGGCTTATCTGTTGTCCCCCATTCACTTTCATTGTATTGTCCTTGAAATATCCTCATTTTTACATGTACTATTTCATTTTGAAGCAGCTAGCTGATGTTTACAGGGAGACTAGTATAGATACACATTGTGAACGTGTGTGGAACCGATTAATTTGTTGCCCCTCTTTAAGCTGACAGAAAACATTCTTACCAGAGAAAAAAAAAAGAAGCAGAAGCTTAAAAAGAGCCACTAATGAGTGCCTACACATTGTATACCAAAAGAAGAGTGTTAAACATTATGCATTATTGACGAAGGCTTGAATGGATGCAGAAACAGCACATGGCTGTACAATTTGTGTAAATTGTATGCAAGTGCAGATTTAATTAATCCTGCTGCATGCAGGGTTTTAGTGAGTCTAAGCATGCAAATTAATAAACACAAAGCTGTTTATTATGTTAGGAAGCAAGAAAACAAGTCAAAAGGGTTTCATAAGTAAAGCTGTGAGTCTGTGTACAAGGGTGCAGTGAGAGGAGCAGTCATTAATCATACTTATCCACTAATGGCTAGTTTTCAAGCTGAGAGTTTAAGTTCACAGTGGATTTGAGATGTCAGGTCGGGGTTTTTGCTGAACAATTTATTTCCGACTGAATGCAGAAGCATCACCATGAAAGAGTATCAAGTAGCTCTTTAAGTGTGCTGCTAACAGTTTTAATTAATTCGAATGCCTTAACAAGAGTGAGACTTAGAAATGTTTTCCCAAGTTAAAATAACTGACCTTCAGGGATAGTTTTTTTAGCCACTCAGCAGGACAACCTTTCACTGAGTTGTGAGTGTGCTTTATATCTCAGCAGGGAGGACCCGTCCACCCCAGAGTTCAGTGTGAGCACAGTGGACGAGTGGTTGGAGGCCATCAAGATGGGCCAGTATAAGGAGAATTTTGCCAGTGCTGGATATGTCAGCTTGGACTCAATCCTCTACATCAGTGTCAGGTACAAAATGCTGGTGACTCATCCCGGCTAAATCAAACACTCAAAAGGTCAACACAGTCAGTAGAGGAGAATTTTCCTCCGCTTGAGTGTCATTTGAAATTAAAGAAGGGGATTTAAAGTATCTTAGACCAGAGAACTCAGCAGCTGCTTGGCATTTAAAGGACAAAGAAGATTTTCTCTTTCTAAAAGTGTCATTGAAAATTATCTTTCTCTTTTTTTTCTTGCAGTGAATTGGCTAAAATGGGTGTAAATCTGGCCGGCCATCAGAAGAAGATTTTGTCCAGTGTGCAGAGCCTGCAGACCCAGGGGACGCACATCCAAGTATAACAGTTTCCACATAAACACACAGTGGGACAGAGCCAAAATGGATGCTCCTGTGAAGAGTTTCCGCTCTGAAATGGAGTTTTAATGGATACTCTGTACTCTGGCCTGACTTTGATTTTGACACACACTCAGATGGAGACAACACAGACGCTTGACTCCTTCACTACTTTCTCGCAGTTTCACCATTCTTCCCATCCTTGATTCGATGGGCACTACCGGCTTCAGCACTCAGAATCCCAGCAACACAGCCACCACTACGATGCAACAAAGCCCCGACCATTTCACATCATATGAGCTCAAGAAAAAAAAAAAAGATTTTTAACTAATGAAATGACAAAAAAGTAATAAGAATATAATTATCATCACTGTCTGTGAAGTGTACAGTTGGTTTTTACTGTCATTTTGTTTCCATTTCTAATTTTCACTTTGAAGAGTTTAAAAAGGGTCAGAGGATATGTATATGTGTAGATATATGTTTATATGGGCTGTGTGTCCCACAACCGTAGAGATGGACCTAACGTTTGTATTGTTGGTGAGGTTTGTTTAACGCTCAACCTAAAAAGGAGTCATTACCCAGTACATGTGGCCCCTTTAGATGCTCTCTAGATACAGAGAGCCAATGAACGAGCCAGAGTCTGGTTGACATGAATGTGTGGGGTGAGGGGAACAGGAAAATGGACCTTTAGAGATAGACAGGGATGTAGATTTTGCTAGCTTTGCTTGCTATATTTGACCAGGACAAGGGCTTCCTGAGCCACTACAGTCAGACACACTTCCACAGCAACCCTAGTGCACGTTATGCTAGTCTGCTTGCACTTCAGTTTTAACAGAGTGCACAGAAACAGCACAATAGACTTTTAATCTTCCATAACTGACTGTCTTTACAAAGCAGCATTTACTAAATCAGCTGTTGCAGTATGATGTTGTTGGGGATTTTAAAACCCTAGAGTTTGCCTTCCTATGTTTCAGGTGTGTTAAGAAAGTTCAGGTGTTTTGCGCAGAGCAAAGGCGGTGCCAGAGAGGTACTATTAAGAACATGTAAATTGGTTTTCCAGTGTTGTGCCATGTACAATTACCTTGACATGTTGGGCAGTATTAAAAGTCTTACTATGCTCTTTCCTTTTATCCATTCCTAAGGCTTGGATGTAACACAAGACCAGTTGTAGTGATCACAGTATTTTTCCCAAATAGTCTGCTTCATGAAAAGGAGCATCGGAATGGACCCTTTTTGCCAAGATGAAATATACAGGGTTGATTTTCAGATGGTTAAATTTCACTTTTAAAAGATAACTTATGTGTATTGTACTGTCTCACCTTCTTTTTATCAGTCATGCAAACCTATTTCAAGCATCCTTACTTTCAAACAGGTACCCATGAGATATTTAGAAGAAATGTTTACAGCAAAAAGCAAATCCATTGGTTTGTTTGTATTCACTCGCTGCTTTTCACATTAATTACAGAGGTCGAAATGATGAAACCCTCTCTGTAAGCACTGCATCAATGGCACTGAACCTGCTTTAGTGTTTTTCTCAAACTCAGTTTTAATATATGTGGTACTCTATAGGACCAACGTGGCATATAGTACAGTATATATGATTGTATTATAGTGTAAAATATGTACAGTGTTGATTTCCAATGTTAGAATGTTTGTAATGATAACGATGATGACTATGATGTACTTTTTTTGTGGAAAGTAATTTCTGAAGTACTCGTTTAGGGGCGGGTCAAACAGGAGAAAAGTGAAGAGAGGTGATTTGGTCTAAACAAAGGAATGTAGCATGGTGCAAAGCTTTGGCTTTGATTGGCAGGTGACAGTGACTGCAGTTTAAACCATAGGGTTAGAATGAGTGGAATGGACCTTTGTTACAGATACTCTCGAGTCATTTGCAAACCTCTCCAGACCAGTGGTTACGTGCACTTTCTAATCCTGCGTCAGGCTACAACACAAACTGTAAAACTGGATAAAGGACTGGAAAGAAGAAGTTGACCTTACACTAAACCTTAACACTTGGTGAAATTGACTGAAATGTTGAAAGACATACAGGAAAACACTCAACGCTTCAGCGTACATCTTACGTTTCTGCTTTGCTAGCTTTATGAACTGTGTTGCTGCTCGATTTTGTGACCGACCTCATCTCCCAAGCAACAACATCTCACCGCCTATTGAACTACTTTTACAACAATCCTCAGCCCTTTATTATCAACATCAACTGCCCAGCAGTAATGCTTTAAAACCACAGGCAGTGATTATAGAATCACAGCCTCTCTTAAATAAAGCTAACATTAATTAAAAATCATATCAATGACTGTCAAGCCTTAATGCTTGACAGTGAGTCAGCAGCTAACACCCTTCCTTTGCTGTAGCTGAAACAAAAGCCGTCTTGTCCTTTCATGCTACTCGCCCCCATGTGCGGCGTACCATTAAATAGGGTTTATGTGACTCAAGGGGTTTTGATTAGTACACAAATATTGACATTCATTGAATATTATAGGAACCTCTGGGATAGAGAGCTCGACAAGCATAGCATCAGTCACTGCTGGGTTTAGTGTTCTGTCACTTGGGGAAGAAGAACGAGGCTTTTAATTTATGGTTTGTCCGTCCTATTGTTTCAAAGTTTGTAAAATACTGGCGTCAAATATAAAGATATGTTAAACAGCAATACACCTTTGTACAACAACAACAAAACAAGAGATTAAAAACAGTTTCTAAACCACTGCTGTTTTGTTAGATATGCAACACATAAAAATACAAAAGCGATCCTTAGTGTCTGGTATTGTCGGTACGTTCTACTCATGCTAACTCTATGTCTTCACTCTAGCGGACAACCTTTGACCGCTGGCCTTTTAGATGCCTTATTTACTGAGCTATTGTTATTTTCTGTTGCCCTATAGAGGCGATATTAAGAGTAAAGTGTATGTACAGGTAGTATTTATCTGTGTTCTTAAGATGATCTCACAATGACACCCTGGTTTTGTTACATCCTAGAGACCCCATCCAACAGCACTTTCACTTTGATTTCTCTGAACTGAAGAGACATTTTGTTCTGAAAATGTGTGATGAAGCTCATGATTTGAAGTAGTGGTTATAGAAATTAACAGAATTGTTCTTATTTATTTGTCTTGGAAGATATTCGTTGATCAGAATGATATGCGGAATACGGTGTGGTGGTTAGCTTATGATTTTAAAACGATTTGCGGTGGCAAATTTCACGTGCAAGGTTCCTCATGGTCTGTCTGGATTAGAAAAATGACAATGTCCTCTTCTAACGAAAGCTTATGAAACACTCCCACTTAAGAAATTTTAAGAAGAAATCATACCCACACTTTCAACGATTTGTGTCACTAATCACCCTTTAAAGGTCAGTTATGTGGGTTGGTTTGCTTGATTCAAAATTCCAGTGTTTGTCCTCCATTCCCCACCAGAGATCTGTGTTGTAAATGTGCGAGTGATTCTCCGTGGAGGATCTCTCTTTCTCTCTCTCCTCTTTCTTTGGCCACCGTACAATGCTTATTTGTCCCCATGCCAGTTTCCTCTGCGTTGCTTGTTGTAAAGGGTGTAGGCATTCTAATGTCTTTCATGTTGCTGTAATAAATATGCTAATATTTCTAATTTCTCACCTGAAGCCTGCGGTGTATTTTTCTTTCACACATTCTCTGCCTTTTTCTTTTACACGTGTACACACACAAACATACAGACACACACACACGCACACAAAAATTATTCATTTGCTCAATTCCACAGTGAAATTACTTTAGGAGAGGAAGAATAGGACAGAATAAAATTTCAAAGAGTCTTTCCATGAAAGTGTTATGAAGCCCTCTTGCTTAATTATTTTCTTTGCTGTGTAACAAAGCCTGAAGGTATCAAATTTTGTTTTGGTGAGAGAGTCTGACCACTGTTGCAGAAAATCAGTGCATGACTGGGAAATACAAGGAGTCTCATTTGTCCCCAGCTCTGCTCTAATGGTGATAGCGGTGGTGAAATTCCCATCATAACATTCTTGAATGGTAAAAAATGGCCATTCCTGCAACCACATCTTCATTATCAGTTTGTGTGTGTGTGTGTGTGTGTGTGTGTGTATGTGTGTGTGTGTGTGTGTGTGTGTGTGTGTGTGTGTGTGTGTTCCTCACTGAGGGATAATTCTGTCCCGTGGGAGGGAGAAGGTCAGCGACTCCTGGCCTTGGTTAACCCCTTAATGCACTGGCCCAGTTGCTGTCACTCTATGTTACTGCCATTACACCTCATTTAGCCCATCATATTAGGGTCCATATTCCCCCATCGCTTGCTCACTTTGTCTCTCTTTCCCACACACACACATACACAACCCGGGACGTACAAAATATTCAAGCTCTGTTCTCCATTTCCTCAGTATCTATCTCCTTCTACTGTGCTCCTCTTAGTCTTTCTGCTGGTCTTGAGCATGTATCCTGTTACCCATCCGTCCTTTGAAGACGGACAGAATAGTTGTAGCTAGTTTTTTTTTTTTTTTAACCTCAACCTCAACCTCAACTACACCTTCATCTACTGACTTCACTCCTGTCAATAAATCCTTCCCTCCAAAAAGATTTTTTGCACAGACATTGTCTTCTCTTGGCCCATTATTCTGTCTTTACTGGTTTCTCTTCACCATTAAAGGCCGATCCATATCTTCAGGCTTTTGTCTCCGGGTGTCACCGTGGGGAGAATGTCAGCTCACGTATTTGCTTTGGCTAACATGGAGGCTACTTGGAGTCAAAGGCTCAGGCAATTGATTCATCATGCAGCTGCTATTGGCATCATGTGAAAAGGTCAGGTGTCCCTATGGAAAACACTTTAAAAGGCCATTGGTGACTGATGAGGCTGTCATGTTTGTATCACATACATGCACAAGCACTCTGATCACATCCTTTTTGTCTGCCTTTCTATATGTTCCTTATCCCAGGACATTGTCTCTATGAGACACACACACACACACATAAACACACACAATGTCCTACGGGAATGGTAATTGGGCCCCTCTGTCATGCTGTCAGGTGATGGTTTGAGTGTCCCCTTATGTGCAACAGCAGACATTAAAATAACACAGGAGACCAAACCAGCCATAGATCCACTGTGACCTCTGCAGGGTCAGCCATGTGTGTGTGTGTGTGTGTGTGTGTGTGTGTGTGTGTGTGTGTGTGTGTGTGTGTGTGTGTGTGTGTGTGTGTGTGTGTGTGTGCATTGCATAATGCATTGTGAGCCCATGCCAGATCCTCGTCTGTGAGCGAGGAGGTAGTTCAGGTATCAAAAATGGAGAAGAGATAAACTCCAAACCAGAGGAAAGATTTTTATCAGTCGTTGGTTAATGTTCCTGTTTTTTTTGTCCCTCTTGATTGCATCGTGTTTATCCTCTCTAATCAAACATGGCCAACTTCAGACAGGCTCAGGGTTTTTGTGTCCACAAACACGCACACACAAATGCACACATCAGTGCTTTTTCTTGTCTCATGAGGTTTTAGTTTGCTATCAAAGCGATTTCCTGTCTCAAATTTTCATCAGTAATCAAAGTTCCTGATTGAATTTGAAAAGTGAGCCCGGCTCTATAAATCACATTACATGCCTCACTCCCATCATGCCTGCTTTCATCAGCCACAGGAATGAGACGCCACCCTGGGTGCACGTCTGCTACATGGCCTGTGTGTATGTGTGTGTTCTCATGCACAGAGTGGAACAGAAAAATGGATGTTGATAGAGCTGAGATTTGATCCTTGCAATTTTTTTTTTTTTTTTTTTGCTGGAGCAGATAATACAAAAAATGGAGATAAAAATGATGAAAGGACAATAAAGATAACACACCAGGGTCTGACTGCATGTGGAAACAATTCTTGACTTTTGTTTATGTGTAAAATTGGATGATAGGTGGATTTCATTGCATCAGCTCTAATCCTTATAAAATCAGTTGAGTGAGTGTAAGTGAAAATGGCTTTTGTGTTGACATTAATAAACTGCTGAATAAGCACAGGAGTCCAAGTGTTCAAGGGGCCCAACCAAATCAAATACATTTTTATGTTTCTCTCCAACCTCCATTTGTTCTCTTAGGCTCCGTGTTATTCTTAGTCTTTTCTTTTTTACTTTCTTTGATAAATTGTGTTGTTTGCTCACTGACTAACTTTCTTTTTCTTACTCACTGTTTTTTCTTAACTAAGATAAACTGATGTATGATCCTGCAAATGTGTTTTTCTGTTTTTCTTGTGCTTGAAGTTACCTCATGGTGCCGGATCCTGGTCCTGGCTGCAGCCAGCGGGGGCTCCATTTCTTCCAACACATTGGCAAATAGAAAAAGACATTTGGAGCAACCTGGCTTCATCATTTCCTTGGGGATTAATAAAGTTTTAGCTTATCTTATATTATAACAAAAATATGATCTTTTATGTATGTTACGGACCTGGGTGATATTAGTTTATTGATCATGTTTATTGTGTCTCCTATAATTGGTTACAAATCTCCGCATTTATGATTGGCTTACTGAATAGCTTGTTTTCATATAACGTCACATACTTACTTCTTCTGTGGTGTTTTGCTGCATTCATGTGGTGTCGGACACATCGTAAAAACAAGTTTCCGAGTTGCAAAACGCACACCTACTCAAGTCGGAACAACAACTCGGAACTCGGAAAAGAATTAGACTTCCCGATTTGAAGTCAGAATCGACATCACATGGGGGACAGGCAAACAATTTTTGTTTCATTAATTCACATAGTGCACATCAGCTTTTTCCTCAAATAAAATTAACAATGACATTTAACAGATCTTATTTGTCTTTTCATGTTCACTTCAGTGCCATGACAACGGCCAATCATAAATGAGGAGATTTGCAACCAATTATATGTAAGCTTACAATGGCGACTGGGTCCGCCCCCCCTATCCAATCGCGAGCAGGTTACAGGAGAGAGCGTGTTGTTGTTGCACGCTCAGGGTGAGATTCTGCTCACGCTCAAAAGTTTCTCCTCGCAGGATACAATATTGCTCGTGCAAGCATATCATTTCTGTGCGTGGCTGCTGTGAAAGCGCTCGCAAAAATAATATGCTGTTTGAGTTGCACGCCTGCTCCTTTACATCCGCGCACGGATCTCATCACAATTTTATTGACAGGATTATAACGCCATACTCCTCCCCTGCAGTGTGTGTGTTTCCGTCTGTACTGTACTGTAGGTATCTCTGTTAGATTTTGATAGATTTAGAACAGTTACCTTGTAAATATCTTTTTAAACACATAAATTCTAAAGCATTCTTCACATTGAGCACTTCAGCAGCAGAAGTGTAGGAGTGAGAAACCCCTTGTGTGCTCCTGATATGATTAGATCACTTTTGTTTGCTAGTTTGGCCCTTTACTCATCTCTGAAGATTATGATACTGCTGCTTGAATCTGAATTTAACTTGTGTTGCTGTCTTTCTGGGTAGCAGAATAGAGTGGGCCGTCAGGATCGTGTTGTGTCTAGGATCCCCTAGACCGGGGACATATCATGCAGTTTAACAATGCAGAAGAAAGTCATTATGGCCATTCAATTTGTCAGATGCTCTTCATCTTCAGTGTTAACTTTTTTACTCATAAGCAGCTGACAGCAGCACCTGAAAAGATTGGGACCTGCACCTGCACTATGTCACAAGATACAAAGGTACCTGTGATGACGAAACACAAGTTCAAAGATAAGAATACAACCACAAAGATACTGTACAAATATAACTACAAAGAGAAGCAAAACAAAGACAGAGACACTAAACGATAGAGGGAAGCGGAAAAAAAACCCCACATAAAACAACTACAAAGGTGAGCAAATCAACGACAAAACCAAACCAAACAACTGCAAAGGGATGAAGAGTGAAGCATAGAAGCAATGCTACAAAGAGGTCATGATCAAACAAAACGTGCATAGATAGAAGACAAACAATACAAAATACAAACAGATGCAGAATGACTGTAGATGGACAAACTGGCTGCAAAATGATTCTTAGCAAGAAAATAAAGGAACAAAACCCCTCAAAAGAGTCTTTGCACAGGGGCCCATTGTCACATAGTTTGCCTGAGGTTGTTGGCATAAGTTGAAGACTGTATTCATTCATTCACAAATATTTTACGAGACAAATAAAATAGTAAGCCCCCCCCAACCCCCTCTTAAAAAAGAGAGAGAGTCAGCAACAATACTGCCTGTGTTAAACAGCTGCCACGGCCTGTGAACTGTTACAGGTTTTGAATTGGAGCAGAAGCATTAAGAGGATGAACAGGGGACGGAGAGGAGAATGAACTGTGTTTGAGTTTAAGCGGAGAAAAAAAAAAAAAGGTAAAGAAAAATTTGGAGTGGTTTGTGGAGTCTGAGATAATATTGACCACATAATCCCTCACAGATGTGGAAGTCACTGTTTAATGCCTGGAAGACCTGACACGCTGAACTGCTCTTGGATGAGTCAAGAGGGACTCTGAATAAAGACAAACTCTCTCACTGTTCAGACTGTGCTCTGACGGGGGGAAGATGATAAAAAAAATCTAAATCAAGGGTGAGTGTAACAAGGCCACATCTCATAGTCTTCACATTACACAAACACATACAAACAGCATGTATATGATCTCAGTGAAGTAACTCATACAAGGTGGCAGTGTGA